GGATCACAGCAGTGTGTGGAGGTGGTGGCTGTGTGGTGGAGCCGGTGGATCAGTACAATGACGAGCAGTGTCGTATTGTGAGACAGTGTGGCCCACACCAGCCTGGAGGCTCTCCCACACCCTCCTGTATTGATCAGGTCCCCCTCTCCCTCTCTCTCTCTCTCCATCTTCACTACACCTTCCTCCACCACAGGGAAGCCCTCATGTGTGTGTCCTACACTCTCACACACACACACACACATAGACACTATGTTGACCAGACCACACACTAGAAGGTGGTGGGACGACGACGTTTCGGTCCGGCCTGGACCATTATTCTCAAGTCGATTGTGAGAATGGTCCAGGACGGACTGAAACGTCGTCGTCCCTTCACCTTCTAGTGTGTGGTCTGGTCAACATACGTCAGCCACGTTATTGTGACTCATCGCCTGCACATAGACACACTGTAGGGGTCTGGTAGCTGAGTGGACGCGGGACTCGTAATCCTGTGGACCGGGTTCGATTCACCGGAGTAGGCAAGAGACAAATGGGCAGAGTTTCTTTCATCTTGATGGGCCTGTTACCTAGCAGTAAATAGGTACCTGGGAGTTAGACAGCTGCTACGGGGGAATTAGTAGTTAGTAACAGTTGATTGGTTGACAGTTGAGAGGCGGGCCGAAAGACCAGAGCTCAACCCCCGTAAGCACAACTAGGTAAGTATACACACACACACACACACACAGACACACACACACACACACACACACACACACACACACACACACACACACACACACACACACACACACACACACACACACACACACAAATAAGCATAAGGAAATCCTCAGACCATACTCAGTCAGGAAATACTGAGAAAATACTCAAAAATACTCAGGAAAAACAGATTGGTTAGAAAGGCTGATAGCTCTTGGAAGAGCTATCAGCCCAAGAGCTAATAGCTCCTGGGCTCCGCCAAGTACAATCTGCAGGTACAAATAGTAGATAGTAGAGAGTGGGAGGAAGAGCTGGACACTGGTAGGAGACTCGAACTCTTAATGCTATATCCAGTTTTTCCTGGAAGAGTTACAGGTCCGCTGTCACACGCAGTTAACGACCAAATATCACAGCTGATGCTTACAACTTAACCTAGGTTGATATGTTGGCCTGCGGGCCGTTGCAAGCAACAGTCTGCTGGACCAAACTCTCACAAGTCAAGCCTGGCCTCGGGCCGGGCTTGGGGAGTAGAAGAACTCCCAGAACCCCATCAACCAGGTATCAACCAGGTTTGATTAGATTGGGTGAAGATTAGCTTAGGTTATACACGAGGATAATTTGATTGGATCGATTGAATATGATTGATTGGATTGATTGGATATGATCCCTTTGTCAGGGACAATCTTTCTTAGATAAATCTTGATAAATGGATAAATTTCTCCTTCGTTTTCTCTCTGTTCCTTTAATGTTTCCTTGTAACTCAAGCCTCTCACCTCTGGGACTAGTAATAGTGGTACATGTCTCTGAACTTCCTCCAGTTTTATATTGTGTTTAATGAAGTTATGCCTTCACCTCAGGTGCTTCACATTCAGTTTGTCATTCGAGTTAACATCTACCAACCACTGGAGAGTTATTAAGGCCACCACAATACTTAACTGACCAGTCATAAACTATACTTCAGTCCTGAATCTCGTCCAGGACTAAAGTATACTGTCAGAGTATATATAGAGAAGTGGAGTATACCTCTCAGTGGGTATATCAACTTGATACATATTACAGATTTGACATAAATAGTATACATGATCCTGAACGAATTCTAGTTCTGAATCCAAAAGGTTTGGATTCACGTTAGTCAACCTTGCTTGGTCAACTAAGGTTGGTTATACAGCCTGTGTGTACTCTCCTATTTGTGCCAAATCTGACGCTGACAATGGACAAACACAGCATCTTTGCATCTGTCTTAAGACATCAAAACAAGTTCTTTATCAAAAGCAAATAAAAAAACAGTTTACATGTCGAGACATTCAGTGTCATGCAAGTTTTTACCTAGTTGCAACAATTGCTAACTGACTAGTGTTTGTAAACTGCAAGATGTTAAGGATGGACTCAATTGTGGGTGCTCTGGTATCCTTGTAAACCTGAGTATCCTTCCACACGTGAGCCACTTGTTTAAGTGTTGTGGTGGGGGGTGGCAGCAGAGGGAGGGATGGCAGGTGGACAGCAGCCAACAGAGGTCTGGATGGGGTCGGGTGTCCAGCAGAGAGAGAAGCGTAGGGGAAAGCATATCTGGCAACCAGGTATTCAGTACCTGGAATGTTGCCATACCTTACGGTGCCTTGAATGGCCTCCTGGAATTCTGCCATGTATTGCTGGTGTCTTAAATGATGTCAGGTTCACTCAGGTTAAAGCAACAGGATGTGGATTTGTCCAGGAACGCTGCTAAAAGGCGTTCACGTTTCCTTCAGCGAGGTGCTGGGATCTGGAAGCCCCAAGGACGCTGCAATGAAAAAGTGCCTCGTGCAAGGTGAGCTGCGGAGAGTTGACTGGAATACTCAAGAGTTCTGCAACGTTTTCTTCGCCATCTGAAGCAGAGCTGAAGGATGCTTCAGAAGCAGAGGCATCTGAAGCAGAGCTGAAGGATGCTTCAGAAGCAGAGGCATCTGAAGCAGAGCTGAAGGATGCTTCAGAAGCAGAGCTTAAGAAGACATAATAAAAATCAATAAATGAAACTGCAGGTGGCCATACACACCTGCATGTAAGGAGGCGTCCCGGAACACCTGTTGGACAATACAACACAGGTGTTGATCTTGCGAGGATCCGCGCTCTCTACACCCACACTATGCCCCTGCATGATGCCCCTCTACACCCACACTATGCCCCTGCATGATGCCCCTCTACACCCACACTATGCCCCTGCATGATGCCCCTACACCCACACTATGCCCCTGCATGATGCCCCTCTACACCCACACTATGCCCCTGCATGATGCCCCTCTACACCCACACTATGCCCCTACACCCACACTATGCCCCTACACCCACACTATGCCCCTGCATGATGCCCCTCTACACCCACACTATGCCCCTGCATGATGCCCCTCTACACCCACACTATGCCCCTACACCCACACTATGCCCCTACACCCACACTATGCCCCTACACCCACACTATGCCCCTGCATGATGGTCGATCCTTGGCTTTATTGAGGCGGGAAGATCAGCTTCTCTAGCACTTATATTTGACCGTCTCCTGGGGCCAGATTCACGAAGCAGTTACGCAAGCACTTGCGAACGTGTACATCTTTCCTCAATCTTTGACGGCTTTGGTTACATTTATTAAACAGTTTACAAGCATGAAAACTTGCCAATCAACTGTTGTTATTGTTATAAACAGCCTCCTGGTGCCTCGGAGCTCATTAACTGTTTAATAATTGTAAACAAAGCCGCCAAAGATTGAGAAAAAGATGGACAGGTTCACGTAAATGCTTGCGTAACTGCTTCGTGAATCTGGCCCAGTCTTGTATGCCATTGTGACTAGCTGTAAGTTTTCTAGGCGGCGTTGGAATTATTATTATTAACATCTTTATTGACAAAATTAATTACAATTTTGCCTAATCTGAGGATTTTGATAGTCTTATTAAATTGAGGTTAATGCTAGTATTCACTGTCACGCAGGACAGAGGGTCATACATAAGACAATAGGCCTAAACTGTAGGCTGAAGCACATATATATCACGGTTACAATCAATGTTTTAATGTGTGGATATGTGAAAACAACTTTCTATTGTGCACTGCCACACAAGTGCAGGGATGGGTTCATAAGTGATACAGCTTAGAATATAAGTAGAAATTGTTCTTCATTCTTTAAAATGGACAAGCAAATTTTGGGTAAATTGTTAGGATGTCGTCCAGAACACCTGAGTCAATAAAATAGTTACACAGTTGGTGGTACAATAGGCCAGGAGGTCTAAAGTCCTTTACGGTTTCACATTCATCAATATAGTGTTCTAGTGAATGCATTAAAGGTTTATCACAGAGTTTACAATCTGAATATTCTGGTAGTGGCTCAGCCTCACTAACCTGCCAGATGTGTCTATAGCCAAGGCGAATTCGCGCGATTACTACATCACATTGCCTGGTCCGGTTACTGTGCTGACCATACAAATACCTATTATTACAGAACTTGTCATAACTTTTAATACTGCAGCTTTCAGGTCTCTGTGCATTTCTTAGTTCTTCTAAATCTGAATTAATTTCTTTAATTTGTATGTTTCTAATAACTGCATTAGATAGTCCAAAATCATAATCAATGTTTTCTTTCCTGCAAGCCTCATTGGCCAATTGATCTACAAAGTCATGTTTTTCAACTCCAACATGGGATGGGATCCACACAAATTTTATACAAGAATTATTATCATTGGCAAAAATTACATTCCATTTAATATTACAAGCTACTTCCGACATACATTGTGATGGGTTATTTAAGGACTGCAGAGCACTTTTAGAGTCACAGAAAATAACTCCACCACCATTGAGCTTAAGGTATTCAGTGGCTAGATAAATACCCAATAGCTCGGTCTGTGTCGTGCTTGCCCAGTTGTTCAATCTCTGTGTACTAGTCATGATCATTTCATTCCCTTTATACACTGCACATGCACAACCTGTTCTACCAGTGCCTAACTGCACAGAGCCATCAGTAAAGGCATAGGATTCAGTCGGTTTGAGAATTTGAAGATGACTGTCAATAGCTTCTAATGTTATACATCTCAAAATGTCAGTGTTATACATTTGTTTTACACTGATGGGAGTATAATGCAGAGAGACCTCCACATCTTTCCAAGGGGGAATATAGTGAACAGTTTTATCAGGGTTAAGAGATACATTCAGTTTCTGAAGATTATAGACACAACAACTGAGCCACACACTGTAGGGAGCTTTTTGCGGCGGATTGAGGGAACAGTCAGAATTGTTTAGAATGGATCTCAATTTAATTTGAATAGAGCTGGGGGGACCATTATTTTTCAAAGTTTTGGCGCAAAACATAGTACTAAGTAGAACTATTCTTTCGTAAATGGAAGGTAAGTTTAGTTCCTTTCTCATGTTAACAATTCTGACAGTTCTAGGACAACCCAGGATGATGCGCATGGCATCATTCTGTACTACATCTAGGCCTTGTAATTGTTTAGGAGAAAAATTAAGAAGATGCAAGGCATAATAATCAACAACAGATCGTATAAAGGCAATATAAAAACTACGAGCATATTTTATGTTAATGCCAAATCCTTTGCCAACAAGAGTTCTGAGAGGTTTAAGACGCTCAACAAGTTTTTTACGCAGGTTGCTGATGAGATTTGTATCATTAACCTCGACTCCAAGATATTTATAAGACTCACAAGTCTCCACGGGCACTCCATTAATAGTATAGTTAGCATGAAGAGAATGGGGAATAAGAACCCTTGTTTTATCAACAGAGATTATGAGGCCACATTCTACTACTTTCTTGGAGAATGCATCAAGTAACATTTGTAGCCTTGGTTTACTGTGTGCCATAATACAAATGTCATCAGCATAACATATAACTGTTTCCGTAGGTTGTACAGGTATGTCATGGATAAGTTTGTGCATAAGTATATTGAAGAGCATAGGGCTTAGGACACCGCCTTGAGGTGTGCCTAGTTCGAATGCATCTGTTCTTGTACTTTTAACTCCTTTAAATAGGACACTAGCACGCCTGTTGGATAGGTAGCTCTTTATCCAACTCAGAAGATTACCTTTGATTCCAAATTCAGCAAGTTGCTCTAATATTATTTCGCCATTCGCTACATCGAAAGCTGACTTTAGGTCAATAAAGGTTGCCTGTGTCCCATCCTGGGAGTTTACAAAGTATTCAGCAAAGCATGTTTGTGTGCTACACTTGGGCATGAACCCATATAGGTTTGGGGCCAGTTTTTCTTTGACCTGAAACATGACACGATTGAGAACAATTCTCTCCAAGACTTTACACATGCAAGATGTAAGGGAAATGGGTCTGAATTTTTGAGAGTTAGGTTTAGGAATTGGTATTATGAGACTTTGTGTCCATTTCTTTGGCAAGATACCTTGTGAGAGACTCATTTGATAGAGGTCAAGCAGAGGGTGGCTAGGGACATCATTCAGTAAGCTCAAGATGTTATAAGTTATACCATCCTCACCAGGGGCAGTTTGCCTAGGTTTTCCTAATGCTGATGTTAATTCAAAGGGGGTTATAGGAAACTGATCCGTTAAATCTGGTGAGGAGCGTGCTATTTCAATATTAAAGTTTCTGTTAATGTTGGTATGTCTTAAATGCTGCTGTATATCTGGGGGTAAGGAAGAAATTTGTGAGACACTAGACCATTGAGCTAGGAGCATGTCAGCATATTCTGCAGGAGTATGATGAAGCTGAACTGGGGCTGAAGGTTTGGTAATGTTTTTAATTTTGTTCCACATTTCTGATAATGTTGTAGTTCTATTGATACCTTGTAGGAATTGTTCCCAATATGTGTTCTTAACTTGACCCTTAAGCTCGCGAAAATCTCTGTTGGCATTAAGGAATGCAAGTAAATTGTCAGCTGTTTTGTCTCGTTTATAAGAGTCAGCAAGCTGAAGCACTTTGGAACTGGTTGGGCAATAGAGGGGAAGGTTGCCTCTAGGTTTTCTCAGACTTTTACTTTGTTTATTATTTCATGTCTAAGTAGGTCGTTTGGGTAACTTGTACTCACCTAATTGTGCTGGCGGGGGTTGAGCTCTGGCTCTTTGGTCCCGCCTCTCAACCGTCAATCAACAGGTGGGGCGCCACAGATTCCAGCTGATGGTATGCCATTGTTCTGTTCTACTCCTAATGTTCATTTGAACTGTTCATCACTAGACTGTACATCACTAGACTGTTCATCCCTAGACTGTTCATCCCTAGACTGTACATCCCTAGACTGTCCATCCCTAGACTGTCCATCCCTAGACTGTCCATCCCTAGACTGTCCATCACTAGACTGTACATCACTAGACTGTCCATCCCTAGACTGTACATCCCTAGACTGTACATCCCTAGACTGTACATCCCTAGACTGTCCATCCCTAGACTGTCCATCACTAGACTGTACATCACTAGACTGTCCATCCCTAGACTGTACATCACTAGACTGTACATCACTAGACTGTCCATCCCTAGACTGTCCATCCCTAGACTGTTCATCCCTAGACTGTTCATCCCTAGACTGTTCATCCCTAGACTGTACATCCCTAGACTGTACATCCCTAGACTGTACATTACTAGACTGTACATCACTAGACTGTACATTACTAGACTGTTCATCCCTAGACTGTACATCCCTAGACTGTACATCACTAGACTGTACATCCCTAGACTGTACATCCCTAGACTGTCCATCCCTAGACTGTCCATCACTAGACTGTCCATCACTAGACTGTCCATCCCTAGACTGTACATCACTAGACTGTCCATCACTAGACTGTCCATCCCTAGACTGTCCATCCCTAGACTGTTCATCCCTAGACTGTCCATCACTAGACTGTCCATCACTAGACTGTCCATCCCTAGACTGTACATCACTAGACTGTCCATCACTAGACTGTCCATCCCTAGACTGTCCATCCCTAGACTGTTCATCCCTAGACTGTCCATCACTAGACTGTCCATCACTAGACTGTCCATCCCTAGACTGTACATCACTAGACTGTTCATCACTAGACTGTCCATCCCTAGACTGTACATCCCTAGACTGTACATACCTAGACTGTACATCACTAGACTGTACATTACTAGACTGTACATCACTAGACTGTACATTACTAGACTGTTCATCACTAGACTGTACATCCCTAGACTGTACATCACTAAACTGTACATCCCTAGACTGTACATCCCTAGACTGTTCATCACTAGACTGTACATCCCTAGACTGTACATCACTAAACTGTACATCCCTAGACTGTACATCCCTAGACTGTTCATCACTAGACTGTACATCCCTAGACTGTACATCACTAGACTGTCCATCCATAGACTGTTCATCCCTAGACATAGATTGGGTGTAATTTGTTCCATAGTTTAGTCCTTATACAGTAGGGAAGGGGGGGGGGGCGTAATCCATACAGATCCCTGATCAACCAGGCTGTGACTCATACGTCAGGCTGCGAGCAGCCGCGTCCAAAAGTCTGGTTGACCAGTCCAGCAAGCAGGAGGGCTGATCGAGGACCGGGCCGCGGGGTCATTGAGCCCTGAAATCATCGCAGGGTTACCGCAAAGTAACCAACCACACACAGTATTTTGTTTGTTCCTGTTGTTTCTTGTCTATTTGGTCATTCTTTTGTTTGTAAGTAACTCACTATCTTAGTAGAGGATGGTTATCTTGAGGTTATCTTGAGATGATTTCGGGGCTTTAATGTCCCCGCGGCCCGGTCCTCGACCAGGCCTCCACCCCCAGGAAGCAGCCCGTGACAGCTGACTAACACCCAGGTACCTATTTTGCTGCTAGGTAACAGGGGCATAGGGTGAAAGAAACTCTGCCCATTGTTTCTCGCCGGCGCCTGGGATCGAACCCAGGACCACAGGATCACAAGTCCAGCGTGCTGTCCGCTCTGCCGACCGGCTCCCTGGTAGTTAGTCTTACACCGGTAGTTAGAATCTTACATCGTTAGTATTTCTTCCTTAGACACATAAGGAACATTGTCTTCCTGCCAATCACCTTGCACAACGAAGAAGCTTCATTTCTCATTCATTTCTTGAATCATTTCCTTGAGTAACCCGTCGTAGCTCCTTGAATGTTGGTTCATTATAACTACTTGACTCACTCTACAGCATCTTAATTCCTTCTACCTTTCCTAAGGTTAGGTTGTCAAGGGGGAGAGAAATAATAGTGATTTATCTTTGTCAGAATAATTACTGAATCCAGTTAAGTTCCAGTAGGGGTTTGACTGACCAGGAGCCAGATTCACGAAGCAGTTACGCATGTACTTACGAACGTGTACATCTTTCCTCAATCTTTGACGGCTTTGGTTATATTTATTAAACAGTTTACAAGCATGAAAACTTGCCAATCAACTGTTGTTATTGTTATAAACAGCCTCTTGGTGCTTCGGAGCTCATTAACTGTTTAATAATTGTAAACAAAGCCGCCAAAAATTGAGAAAAGAGGTACAGGTTCGTAAGTGCTTGCGTAACTTCTTCGTGAATCTAGCCCCAGGGGCGCCCTGGTGCTTCCATAGGCTTCATATCGCGTTGATGGATCCATAGGTTTCGCATAGGTATATGCTGGTTACTCCTCTTCAACCGGAGCTTTGCAATTACTTTATTAACTCTTGTGTTCGTGAGGATAGCCTCATAATACACCCAAAATTAGTCAGTGGAGGCTACTGATAGCATCTTATCTTGAGGTTATCTTGAGTTGATTTCGGGGCTTTAGTGTCCCCGCGGCCCGGTCCTTGACCAGGCCTCCACCCCCAGGAAGCAGCCCGTGACAGCTAACTAACACCCAGGTACCTATTTACTGCTAGGTAACAGGGGCATTCAGGGTGAAAGAAACTTTGCCCATTTGTTTCTGCCTCGTGCGGGAATCGAACCCGCGCCACAGAATTACGAGTCCTGCGCGCTATCCACCAGGCTACGAGGCCACATGACTCTGTATGATTAACTTTGCTGCCAGATGGGGGACTTTAGCGTCACGTAGCTAGATTTTGACGCACTCTGTACTCCCCTTCATATAGTCAAGAACAGCTGCACACATTCATTCATCTGATGATGTAGAATTAAGTAAATGTAAACTCTGTCAGCAGAATTATTCACATTCCTTGCGTCATTATGCAGTGGAATGTGAAAATAATCACGGAATTCATAGATAATTCCTTCACTGGCGTCCAAGAAATGTATAACTATGCAGGCGAGGAGTCACAATAACGTGGCTCAAGTATGTTGACCAGACCACACACTAGAAGGTGAAGGGACGACGACGACGTTTCGGTCTGTCCTAGACCATTCTCACAATCGACTTGAGAATGGTCCAGGACGGACCGAGAAACGTCGTCGTCCCTTCACCTTCTAGTGTGTGTGGTCTGGTCAACAAATGTATAAGTACTTTATTCACAATGATGTGCTGCCAGGAATCTTAAAGCAAGTATCCAGATATACCTAAATGTGCCACTGGAAAAAAAATGGATGCATGGGTTTCGGGCCTTGAGCTTTAAGGTGAATATAGAGAGTAAGTAGGACTCAACAGGGAGTGGGTTCCCCCATGGTAAGAAAGTTTCCTCATCTTATTGTCAGGGGGGGCCTGACAGCTGAGTGGACAGCGCTTCGGATTCGTAGTCCTGAGGTTCCGGGTCCGATCCCTTGGTGGAGGCGGAAACAAATATGAGCAGAGTTTCTTTCACTTTGATGCTCCTGTTCACCTAGCAGTAAATAGGTACCTGGGAGTTAGTCAGCTGCTACTAGCTGCTTGCGATTACACTGCTCTAACCACCCCCAGATGGCACCACCTTCTTGAGGTTATCTTGAGATGATTTCGGGGCTTTTAGTGTCCCCGCGGCCCGGTCCTCGACCAGGCCTCCACCCCCCCCAGGAAGCAGCCCGTGACAGCTGACTAACACCCAGGTACCTATTTTACTGCTAGGTAACAGGGGACATAGGGTGAAAAAAAACTCTGCCCATTGTTTCTCGCCGGCGCCCGGGATTGAACCCGGGACCACAGGATCACAAGTCCAGCGTGCTGTCAGCTCGGCCGACCGCCACCTTGACCCCTGTACCAAACACAAATGCAACCTGTCAAAATCCACTATAAAAACAGCTTCATAAATCCCACAGAATCCACCAATCCGTAATGTTATTGATTAGCCAGTAAGCCCCAATCTTAAGAACCAAAACAATAACTGTAAGATTGAGGCTTCAGAGAGCCGTTGGGTGTTGAGACGGCCCGAGGCGAGCAGAGGCGCACGCACACTATTCTGGGAGTCATTTGGGGTCACCAGTAGAGTAGTGGCGCTGCTCACGTGACCTCTCTGACATGTCAGTGTTGCACCTCGCGGTCGATCTATCGTCAGACGATGAGGCACCTGACGCCACCCTCATTCGTCTACTGTTGACTGGCGAAGGGTTCCGGCTGGTTGGTAGGCAGGCAGGTAGGCAGGCAGACAGACAGGCAGGCAGACAGGCAGGCAGACAGGCAGGCAGACAGGCAGGCAGACAGGCAGGTAGTCAGACAGGTAGTCAGACAGGCAGGCAGGCAGGCAGGCAGGCAACCACACAGACAGACAGGCAGACAGACAGGCAGGCAGGCAGGCAGACAGACAGACAGACAGGCAGGCAGACAGGCAACCACACATACAGACAGGCAGGCAGGCAGGCAGGCAGCAGGCAGGCAGGTAAGCCGTGCCTGTCTGTCTGTCTATCAAAGTAGACGTGACTGTCTCCACAGTAGGAGTGACAGGAGACAGCTCTCCAAGCCTGTCTCTACCTTTTGAATTCCATCTTTATACCACACCTGTAATATTTACAAGTATTGCTTGTAAAAGAGGCCTTAGAAATGTTTACACTTAAGGCCTGTAAAAGAGGTCGTCATAATGTTTACAAGGTGGTAAAAGAGGTGTTAAGATTTACAAGTCTGTAAAATGAGTGAGAGAATGATGTGTCTGAAGAATAATCATAAATACTAATGACTGTAAAGCTTAAATAACCAAGAAAGTTTGAAACAAGCGCAAACAAGCGTTTACAACACGTGTTATAACAAGCAAACGAGACTTGTAAGTAGTTCAGCAGTTGCTTGAAGTTGTGAATAAAAATGAACAATTATATAACTGCTACAATAAACGTCTGAAATTGACGTTTCAATATGACGTCTTGAAGAAGGCTTTTAAAGTGACGTTTTTAAACTGACGTCTTTTAAGAAAGTATGAATGTGGAGAGTGAGATGAGTATGTGGGTGGGTGTGGAGCATGAATATGGGCGAATGTGGAGTGTTCTGTGGAAGGGAAGGTCTTGGGGGTGTGGAGTATGGAGTATCCCTGGGGTGTGGGGTGTGGCAGAGACCTCAGGTGTGGAAGATCCCTGGGGTGTGGGGTGTGGCAGAGACCTCAGGTGTGGAAGATCCCTGGGGTGTGGGGTGTGGCAGAGACCTCAGGTGTGGAAAATCCCTGGGGTGTGGGGTGTGGCAGAGACCTCAGGTGTGGAAGATCCCTGGGGTGTGGGGTGTGGCAGAGACCTCAGGTGTGGAAGATCCCTGGGGTGTGGGGTGTGGCAGAGACCTCAGGTGTGGAAGATCCCTGGGGTGTGGGGGTGTGGCAGAGACCTCAGGTGTGGAAGATCCCTGGGGTGGGGGTGTGGCAGAGACCTCAGGTGTGGAAGATCCCTGGGGTGTGGGGTGTGACAGAGACCTCAGGTGTGGAAGATCCCTGGGGTGTGGGGTGTGGCAGAGACCTCAGGTGGAAGATCCCTGGGGTGTGGGGTGTGGCAGAGACCTCAGGTGTGGAAAATCCCTGGGGTGTGGGGGTGTGGCAGAGACCTCAGGTGTGGAAGATCCCTGGGGTGTGGGGTGTGGCAGAGACCTCAGGTGTGGAAGATCCCTGGGGTGTGGGGTGTGGCAGAGACCTCAGGTGTGGAAGATCCCTGGAGTGTGGAATGAGGAAAGAGTCTCAGCTGGTGTGGAGTGCAGGGAGGCGCAGGTGTGGGGTGGTGACGGTGCCAACTCTTATAACAAACACACAATCTTAGATGTTGTGCAATGAGCATCTTGCGGAGTGCAACACACAGCCTCCCACAGTGACACAACTTTCACCTTTTTGTTCAAGACGGCGTTCACAATGGTTCATAAACACAGGTGTGGAGACCCCATAACTCATGGGTGTGCTGGATGATGCTGGATGATGGCCTTGGATGATGCTGGATGATGGCCTTGGATGATGCTGGATGATGCTGGATGATGTTGGATGATGCTGGATGTTGGCCTTGGATGATGCTGGATGATGCTGGATGATGTTGGATGATGCTGGAAGTGGCCCTGGATGATGCTGGATGATGTCTGAAAGTTGACAAACT